AGGGAGGAGATGGGGAAAAATGGGCGGGAAGAAGTTTAAGGAGAGGTGAGAGGTAGGGGGGTTAGGAGGGATGACACTTTCTACAATTATCCGAGTCTGTCAGGAGGTATGTTAGCTAGTGTGTATTATCTTACTAAACTATAAGAAAAAGCAGATCAGCCTCAAGAAATATGTATTAAAGTATTAGTACCAAGATTGCATGCAAAATTAGCTTCAGTATTTTGGGTTTGGAAAACCGCTGACTTTCAAAGAAAGAGAATCTTATGATATGTTAGGAATAATATACGAAAGTCATCCTTCGGCCCATGGGACAAGAGCATAAATCTCTTCTTGCACCTGCTGTGCTTATTCGGCTGTCCCATTGGCTTTCACTGTGGCCGTTTTTGTCCCGAATAGAGCGTATGGTTATTTTTAGATGTACTTGCGGCTATTTTCAGTCTAGAAACAGTGTTAATGACCACACAATCTATTCAGGGGAAGACGACACTTTAAAACACCAGTACCTCGCCCCACTATTGAAGACGAACCTGAAAATTCCCTGCGCATCTAGCTTACCAGAGTGGCCTGGGGTCACTTGCCCAGCCGGGCCAAAGAAAAAATGAAAAATAAAAATAAAAACAAAAACATTACTTAGGCAAAAGTTCATTTTATTTTTCTGCATAACATAGTTTTTTTCTCGGAGTTTTTGGATTTCTTTTTATTTATTTTTTTTCCTGGGACCTTCCCATGTCCTTGCACGGGCTGGCCACCCGGGACCCGGGCGGCCCAGCTCGTAGCCTAGCTGCGCATCAAAAAAATACGAGCCGGTGCGGGCCTCATTCTGGATCCCATCTATACTCCTGAAGGTGCATACGGTTACGCCGTCCGCACAGCAGCTGGTGACGCTTACATCTTCGGCTGAACACCTAGTACGTGCGCTGCTTGTACTACTGCAGATTGATAACCTGGACTGTATCAGCATACTGCGCTCTCTGTGTTCTCGGAATTACCGTATAGTAGGCTTCGTGAAGTCAATGCTCCACTCTGGTGCTGAAGAGCGGATGCTGCGCAAGGACTTCGTTCATGTGACCCGCTTTGTGTGTTTGGCTGAGCTTTGTGCGTACGGTGCAGGTTTTTCCGACGACTTCCCAGCTGTTTGCACGGCGTGCTGAGATGGCAGTAGTGTTGCTTCCATGGCAATGCAATACTGCGAGTCGGTTGCTATGATCAGTATGGCCAAGGGAAGGCATAGAATGGGCGTAGGATAGGGTATAAAAGAGGCAAGGCATCAGGAATAGTACGTAAATCTTCCAGACGTAAAGCCCTTAATGCTTTAAATCCAAATACATTACCTACAATAGATGTAAATAAATTTTTACTGATCTGGCCACTCTCCCGAAGAATTCAGCATCCTACAAGAGTGATCATGAGATGTGTTGGTTAAGTTCCTCGTGAAGAGTGTGCGGGCGCCGGGTAGATGAAACGTGTTGAGGATGGCCGCATGATGGTTGATGTTTTGCTCTTGGATCGATTTCTGTCAGTTGCTGGTTGCTTTGATGGAATGCGGACTTTGTCTCATGTTCAGTAGATCTATGGCAAATTGGCAATGCGATATTGCAAGTCGGTTGCTATGATCAGTATGGCCAAGGGATACCCTCAGGAGCTGAAAATATGGACCTAAATCGGGCCAATTTTGTTGTTTTCAATTTCGTTCAAAAAATAAAATATGTCCGTTTTGACGAAATTGCTGTTACTTTGTCTCATGTTCAGTAGATCTATGGCAATGCAATATTGCGAGCTGGTTGCTATGATCAGTATGGCCAAGGGAAGGCATAGAATGGGCGTACTACCGGCATAGGTTAGGGTTTAAAAGAGGCAAGGCATCAGGAACGAGTTCTGTCAGTTGCTGGTTCCTTTGATGGAATGCGGACTTTGTCTCATGTTTGGTGTGTATAACGGAGTAACTGTTGCGTTTGATAATCTGATTGTTGTATTCATTTCTCTCCGTTCTCGTGCGGCAACTGTCTTTGCCAGACAGTTTCCCTTTCCCTTTCTCATTTTGGCTGGCGCCGCCAGGCTATTTGGCCTGGTAGGACCGCATGCGAGCCGCATATTTGTTTATCAATCTGGATGAAGCACAGGTAAGGTTTAAGCCTGTGGCTCAGTGGTTAGGGCACCGGTTGTCAATGTGCTTTGTGGTCTGAGGTTGCGGGCTCAAAACTGCGCATCTCTGTGCAGAGACACCGGAGGCATTTACGAAACGCAGGGTCACTTGCAAACCCGCTTGAGCTGACGCAGGTGAGCTTTTCCAGACACTGCCTGCACACCACCCAAGGGATCGTCCTTGGTGTTGTAGGTTGGGTCTAGACCTATGATTGATTTGCTTGCACACCAGTCCATGGGATTGACAATGTCTGGATGCTTTCACACTTGTCCCTTATTTGAGCTCAGTGTGGCGCGCATTCGTAGGGTAACGCTGATCGCTGATAAGCACAAGCTTCGGGGTTCGAGGTTTGATACCCAAAAAAATGAGTTCTGGAATAACATTGTGGGGATGCAGACTAGGGTTGTGGGCGGTTGATCACATGGTATTGGTGCCCTTAGGGCTTAGCTTTGGGGGGGGCATGGGTTTTAGGAGGGATTGATCGGGGACTCCGCTGGGGGGAGGGTTGGTTAGATTGGAGGGTTGGGGGCCACTGTGGTAGTGGATGTCTTAGGGGTCCTCTGGGTTGACATAGAGCTGGGATAGGGGATAGGCCCTGGTGGAGGATATCAATGTGGAGCGAGCCGACATTAGAGGGGTCTTAGCGGTCTTAGGGGGGTGAAGGCTGGGGTCCGTTACCTGCGTGGACAATACTTTCAGATTAGAATTATAGCCCAGGCCCCAGAGTAGTAGCCCCTGTTGATGATATTAGAGGTTGGGGGAGCGGAAGGTGGCTGTGAACCCGCTGAGGAAGGACACAGGACTTTTCTCTGGGGGATGCTAATAGAATGCCTAGACATCCAGTTTATGATAGAGGTATGGGGAGGGGATGGTGGCCATAAGCCTACTGAGGAAGGAAACTGGAGATGCTCAAGGTTCGAATAACCTCCGCAAGAAATCAAAAAGAGAAGACCAGAGGGATCTGATGATGATAAGGCGAAGATCTCTCTAAAAAAAGAGGCAAAACCAGGGTTAGCCTATGGGACTTGTAGTGGCATGCTTACCTCTAGCACTCGAAGTGCCCGGTATGGTGTGGCTCGTTCTGTAGTGCTTCAATCAGGGCTGGGGAGGAGGGAGGTGAGAACCTGCTTAGCCCTGATGCCCATAACCGCTGTCCGGTCGAAAGATCACCGGAATGGGTGATGATCCTGGGTATACTCAGGTAGGAGACCTTGGGAGTAGGGATGCGCCGG